AGTCGGGGGAGCCAATTATCGCCATTTGGTGCTTGATAGTGATAATGTGCTCCTAAGGGTCGATTTTTCTGTTATACACCATCAATGATGGTGATTTGAAGTTCTCCGGGACTTGGTCGTCCCAGATAGCTTGAGATAGAGGTTGAGGTTCCATAAGCTCCTCTTCTGGACCTTCGTCCCCTGCGCTTCTTTGTTGTAGGTCTGTGACACTATCTTGCAGAGTTTCGTTCTGCTTCCTGAGGGCCTCCACCATGGCTAGTAGTTGCGCCATGTTTGAGGGGTCTCCAGATGACGACATTCTGCAGGAGGTGAATTGAGGTGTAGCCTAGGAATAATTTTCCCAAGGCCCCACGGTGGATGATAATGTTCCTGTCTGGAATAAATATCCATCCAACTTCCCAGGAGGTTTCTTAGGAGAGCCTACCGAAGTGAGTTTAAGTGATGATTGGGGGATTTGGGAGCTACGACAGTTATGTGTGCGTCCCAAGATGAATGTCTTATTCATCTCTCTGTCGGGAGCCCCTTTATATAGTGAGTATCTTCGCTTCATCAAGAGCCTCAGTTAATGAGTGACTCTTTAGTTCCATAACTACATAACCGCCACTGTCTCCATAAATGAAGATGATTAGTGTTGTGTAACACAATAATGAATGCGCCGTCGACGGTTACAGGCTTTAATGAGCCAAGATGACAATTGTTTACGGGTAGGTGCTACCCGGTTATCTACCCTACCCGAGTCGATGGTGATGGCGAGTTGTTACCCGGGTCTATGGGTCATCTAACACTCCCTTAGCCGAGTTACACCCTGGGTACCCTCACCCTGAGTCGACTACTGGTTAATCCTTTTCCCTTTTCGATTACACTACCCGGTAGGGCCTGTTATTTCCGGGATGTACAATATATATATATATATATATATATATATATATATATATATATATATATATATATATATATATATATATATATATATATATATATATATATATATATATATATATATATATATATATATATATATATATATATATATATATATATATATATATATATATATATATATATATATATATATATATATATATATATGTGTGTGTGTGTGTGTGTGTGTGTGTGTGTGTGTGTGTGTGTGTGTGTGTGTGTGTGTGTGTGTGTGTGTGTGTGTGTGTGTGTGTGTGTGTGCACAATTGGAGGAAAAATAGAATGCAAGAATTTTAGAAAAAATTACAAAATTTAGAAAATTTTATCACATGTGTTGAATCATGTAAGCCATGTGTCGACACCTTTGAAGCATGAGTCGTCATGTATAGGTCATGAGTTGACACATGCATTAAAGAGGCTAAAGGCTTTAAAAATCGTTTGCATGCATCAACTCATACAATCCATGTATCAACTCATAGAAGTAATTTTCTTCTATGTGTCAACCTGAAGATTGTAATGTGTCGACACATGCATTACAGAGCCTACGGGATTTAAAATACAAGTACATATGTCGACTCATAGACCTAATTTTTACATGAAATCTGATTTTTAATACGTGAAACCTTTTCCAAGCTTTTACAAACCATTTCTAAAATGTTGTTATGCTTCCTTATGCTAAGATACACGTCAATATTTATATAATATCGTCCAATATACAAAAAGGCTAAATTATCCTAGTTTTGACATCATACAAAACATCTCTAATGGGAAAATGCACTCACACAAAGGCTCTAGTAGGTATATTACACGTTTGAGGGTGAGGGCTAGCTCATAGTGGCGGGTAACCATGTACGATGGTTTTTGAGGTTGTTTAAGGGACCAACTCATGTAAGGTGAGAGGCCTTGCTAGTGGCCGACACTGCTAGGTTGCAGGCAGACAGATAGAATGATGTTATCAGGGTTACTCATAGCGGAGTGCTCTCTAAGTAATGTTGGATTGTTGTAAGTGTGTATGACCAAAGAGATATTTTATCCCCTTGAGGGATAGTGTATTTATAAGAGTTTTCTGAGACCTATGGTTTAAGGCTCTCCAGACGTGGTCTTAACCTCTCCCTTTTATTAGGGAGATTATTGACCGGCTATATTTTCAGAGTCAACAAGGACATTCTCTTATCGAACTTCCACATGGGAAAAACAACATAGGCGACCCCATTGGATTCCATCAAGACAACCCATGTATAGGAGATGGACACCCTAATCTAGGACTTTTTTAAATAGGACACTACACTCTCAATTTTCTCTATATACCATTCATAACCAAACTCTCAAGAACTCACCAAAGAACCCATAATCGCCTTCATCATATTCATATTTCCTTTGAAAAAACCCAGCAATTCTTCCCCAAAACCCAGTGACACATCAATATCTTCATAGGTTCTTCACTAAAACCCAACGAATCATCCATCATATTCATCTATTCTTTTCTGAAACCCAACAATTATTCTTTCATTCTCCATGTTCTTTGTCAAAACCCAGATAATCACCAACAATGACATACGTTATTCAAAAATTCTTCAACAAACCACAATATCTCCCTTACTGTATTCAACAAATTTTCAAATCCTCAAAGAAACCCTAATTTTTTTAGAACCCAAAACCCACAAATATTTTTTATTCAAACATCTCATCTTTATCACACAGATTCATATGTATCCATCAATCCCTTACATTCATCTAAGACCCATATTTTAACCATTTTAAATGTCCATCCTCATTAACGGAGGAACCAATTGATGAATCAACAAACTCCTCTCAAACTGAACTTCGGCCTACCTCTATTCCCTCTACCATTGAACCTCGACCCATCGTCCCTTCTCAAAACACCACAAGAAGTTACCAAACTGACATGTTAGATCTATTTTACATGCATCCCAGTGGAAACCATGTGCTTTTTCTTGTTACTCCTCCTCTAAACAACATTAACTTTCATTCCTGGTCTATGTCTCTTCAAGTGGCCCTCCGTTCCAAGAACAAGTTAGGGTTCATCAATGGAACCCTAACTCGACCAGATTCCTTTGCTCCTACCTATACCTCTTGGGACATATGTAATATTGTGGTTATGTCATGTATTTCTAATTCTATTATTGCTAAAATTGCAAAAAGTGTCTTATGGATGGATTCGATCAACGAAATTTGGGATAAGCTTCATGAGCGCTAGCACCAAGGTGATGCTTTTCGAATTTCTAACTTCCAAGAGGAAATATATTCTCTCAAACAAGACGATTAGAACATCACCCATTACATCACTACGTTGAAGAAGTTATGGAAAGAAATAAAAAAATTTCGCCCTACTCCTAGGTGTAAAGGTAATTCCACATGTCACTATCAACTCATACCCACCATCAAAAGCTATCATAAAGAGGATTATGTCATAATATTTTTGAAGGTCCTGAGTGATAAATACCATCATGTTCGTGCCCAAATAATACTCATGAATCCACTCCCTCCCATCAATAAGGTGTTTTCGTTACTCTTCCAACAAGAAAGACAACTTATCACTCATGTTGAAGAAAACAAAATTATAGCTTACACCAACAAACCTTTTATGCACGGTCGTCCTCTAGATAACACCTCCATAAATGTCTCAAACTACAAGGGCAAAAGGATTAAAATATGTATTTATTTCAATAAGTCGGGTCATGTCATTGAAGTGTGTTTTTAAAAAAAACATGGGCTCCTACCCTATTTAAAGAAACCTATAATTGCTAACATCAATAGTGAATCCAATAACAAAGTCGTTCTCACCCATTTCAAACAGATTAAAGATTTTTGTTTGTGATTTTCATATATTAAAAATATAAAATGGCAAAAGACGTTTCAAGCTTGGATGTTAACATAAGGATTCGAACGCTCTTTCACGGTTGTGTGTGTGAGTTTCTATTGATTGTGAATACTTCATTTACATATAAATATCTATATAAGAGAATAAATAATCATTCAACTATTCATCTTTTATATCACTTTCATTTAATTTTTTATACTCTCTTTTTTTGGATTTAGTCAACCAGTTCTGATCCACATAGTGAACTGACTAATCTGACTTCGTGGTTCAGAGAGACAACTCATTAATCAAGTCGAACTCGATAATACCTAAATGATTCGTCCTTAGTAGAAGTTCATTTCTCATTAGAGTACAAATACTTGATTCTTTTTTATACTCTCTTTCTTTAATTATTAAGCCATTTTAAAACATTAATTTCTAGATTTTATTATTATTCATTTTCTAAATATATCTCTTATTAATTTTAGAACTTTGCATTGAAATTGAAATACGGAAATTCTAACATTAAATATATATATATATATATATATATATATATATATATATATATATATATATATATATATATATATATATATATATATATATATATATATATATATATATATATATATATATATATATATATATATATATATATAATCAATTACCAACATCCTCTCTATATACATCCTCATGGCAAACAATTTGAATTCATTTTATGCTTATATTATACTCTCTTTATTTTATATTATAAACAAATATTATTTTTTAAATTTATTAAATATCTAATATATATATATAGACTAAATACATTATTTAATCAACATAAAAAAGTAATTTTTGTTTATCATTAAGGACGGAGGGAGTATTATATAACTCTCTTAAAACATTACTTATATATTGAGAATGATGTTATGATAGCTATTGTGACATAAACCATGACCCACGTGTCCAATACAAGGTCCCAAATGGGTCCTATTTTGCCTAACTAACAGTCATGGTCCATATTCTGAAATAGCCCTTCTATTTTTCTTTTTAATGTTACATACCTTGCACTGAAAATGACATCAAAGACAAACCCTGAAATTCTTTGGACTCAAGCATATGTTTTGTAGCAATATTCATCTCAATATTCCTCATTTCCCTTTCATACAAAACTTATATATAAATATTTTAAACCATTCACATGGAATATTTCCTAGCAATGTAACAACAAAGAAATTAAAAATTAATTAATTAATTAATTAGTTTTTGATTAACACTTAAGAAGAGGTAATTCTCTTGATGATTCACCATTTTCTTTTTCCCAATTTGGTCTTCCAAGTGTGAATTCTAAGTCAATCATAGAGTCTGAACATTTCACCTGTTTAATAAATAGTATATACACTAATGTTAATGTCATAAACTATTCAAAAAAAATTCAAAAACAAACCCACATGGTAGAACCAGTTTTTGGTCCTATATATATGTCACAAAACTTACCATGGTATCATTTTCCTTGAAATGTGAATACGTCAAACCAATTTCAGATTTTTCTTCAGTATTGTTTGTATTTGTCTCTATTGATGCTTGCCATGATGTCCTGGATTAATTTATAAATTACATATTGTAAATAAAACTCAAATTTGAAAATCACAATTCCAATTCCAAATATGTAAAGTTTAAAATGGTATCGCCAGAAATTTGTGATTGGCTATTCAAGGTATATATGTGATGGATTATTTTAACTGTCAACATCAAAATGTTTCAATTTTCTTAGGTATTTGTTAGATTTCTTTTTGAATTTATAGAACCAATCCTCATTGTTAGTTAGATAGGAACAAACATTGTAGGTAATCTTAATTTTGGTAAGTGAAACAGGAACCTAAACAAACAGTACAAACATTAACATAACAAAGGAATGACATGCCAAATTGTTTAAAATATGGCTATAGAAAAAATATTTTGAAAAAAAGTTCATAAAAAAAAGTTACTTTCTTTACAAAATCAATTTCATAAAATTGAATTAAATCTAAAACTTACAATAATGAAATTATATTCCATGTTGTAATTCATAATACTAGAAATAATAAAAAAAAATTAAAAAAAATTATATCTAATCATTTTTACGATTTTTCTGAAATGCTTGGATTCTCCAAACATTAATATTTAAACCTTTAAAAATTTACTAGTAGTATCACCAAAACAAGTTTTTTCTTACTTCATGGAAATGTGCACCAAAAGCAAGACTTTTTGCTACAAATTGGGATCAAGACATTGAAGATGTAATAAATGAGTAATCCAAAAGTATCATTGGAAAAAAAATGACAACCCACATACCTATGAAAGCCCTAGGCATTTTCATCAAATTCAATGTGTTCCAGTACACTTCTTGTCATAGAAACTCGTAATCAAAAAATAAACAGAACAAAAACTAAAAACAAACAAGAAATAAATCTTTTCTTTATTTAAAAAAGGGCAAACACAGGGCATTTGTGTGAATATTTGTGCATGTACATTAATATAGCTTTTCATAGCCCTGTGTTAAATATTTTAGTAATAAACTCGATAGAGAAATTGACCTTCAATAAGACACAGACGCGTCGATAATGATAAAAAATTTAAAATAATTAAATAAATCAAACGTAATCACATATGTTAGAGATTTACTCTGATACATATATATAGATATTAGGTATATCTTTATTTATTCGAGAAGTGTTGGTAGTACATCGGTTTATTTACATTAATATATAGAAAATTAGCATATAGTACAAAAGTTTTACCTTTGTTGTGGTAAATTTGTTCTCTCACAAGCTGATCCATGCAAAGGAACATTATTAATAATCCCTTGTGTCTGTAGCATCCCATGACCTGCATCAACAAACATAGCCATTGTTCTTCCTTTATCAGACACAACAATCACCTTAATTATTCATCACATCATGCCTTTTGAATTGAAAAATCATAATAATAATAATAATATAAGAGATTATGAAAATATAATTACCTGCTCCTGATTTGTCAGTGGTTTTCACTGTTCTATACATCTGCATGAAAAAAAAAAAAAATAGGAGATCAAGAAGAAGAAGAAGATAAAGAGAAAAGTCCACAAAGTTAAAGATTAACATTTAGAATTTCTATAGCTAGATACCCTTTTGTCCTTAGTGCTTGTTCTACTTTCTCCACTACTGGAACCAACTCTTATAACACTTTCTTTTCTTTTTTCTTTCTTGTCAGAAAATAATTTAAAGGTGAAAATGGAAACTTCATTCAGAAAGTACTCATTAATCTCAAAGACTATGGATGGTGAAGAATAATTAACCCCACCTGTAAGTGACTCTTGACATGTGCTAGGGTTAGATCCTTCACATTCATCAACTCTAACACAGATTTTGGTGTTGCTCCTGCAAGTTAAGTTAAGTTAATCAGACATGATCCATAATTAGATAGATTCATTTTGGTGACAAAACAATGATACTCTTTTATCTTATAGCATAAACGCAGTAGTAGTTACTTTCATGGCCACCGAGAAGTTGAACAGCGTGAACAAAATGAGAATGAAGAGTTGTAGTCCATCTCATTCTGGGAGCTCTAACACTTCTTTTGACACCGGTTCGTGTATTACGCTTGAAATCGCGACCGTAGATGTGAGGTTGAGTGAAGTTTCTTGACACACCGTGAGTTTGATGATGATGAAGATGATGATTATGATGATGTGGATTCATCAAATCTGAGTTTCCAAAACCTAATCTCAATGTTGGCTCATGATGATGATGATGATGGATGAAGGGATTTTCATGGCTTAACTCACTTTCACCACTAGCAGAATCAGAAGTAGTTGATATTGAACATATATTATCATTACTATGATGATAAAGTGCTTTTGTTATTCCTTTATGGACAAGAGAATCTGAAAGAGAAGGTGGAGATATGTGTAAAGATAGGTCTGGTTCTAAAGAAGAAGAAAAGAGAGTTTGCATAATGAGAGAAAGGAATGAATGAAGGAAGGAAAGAAAGAATGAATGAAGGAAGAGAGTGGAAAAGAGTGATTATATCATCATGAGTGACTCATTATTTGCATTGGTTTTGATGAGGTATACTATAACTATAGGCTTTTAGTAGGATATATAGGATCAACTAGGGTTAATTTACTTTTAATATTATTAGGTAGCAGAGATGAATTCAATTTTTCAGAGACTAGGAGTGAGTTAGTCAGAAGAGATTATGAAAAAAGAAAAGGAAAGAGAAATAAATCAGAGTATTTTTGGGGATGGTGGTTTGAGAGAAAGGTTAGTGAAAAAGGGTACTACTAGTATTTATTTATGGAAGCCGCTGAGGTCTGAGATAATGTGGACAGAGATAGAAAGATAGAGATAGAGAGAGAGAAAGTAGAGGTGACTTAGAGAGAGAAAGGCTGGGGAGTATTGAGCTTCTTTTTCCTTCAATATTTTTAATAACTCTCGAAATTCCTGATTCAATACAAATTTTTAATTTTCTAAATTAATAAAATATTATTTATAAATATAAAAATAAAAGATTCATAACCCTCCCACTTAATTTTTCTATTCTTTTTTTCAAATTTTTTTTTTTTTAACTTTCTCTTCTCTTCATTTCAAACTTTCATAACTTAGGGGAATTAGACAATCCCTCACCATGACAACATGGGAGGATACATAGTTAATCTAATCATCATATTAACCTTAAACTTTCCTCATTCATTAATTTTGAGCAAGATAGGACTGTATTATTGACAAAAATTAAAATAAAATTTGAAACTCTAAAGAACAAATTAAGATGTTAAGAAATGTCTGTACTTTTACTGAGTGTACATTTACTCAAAAATGATAATGAAGGTGCAGTGATATAATTGTAGTTACTGGCAATACATATGGTTGGAAATCGAGAAAAATACAAATATAGTACTATTCAATGGAATATTAGAATTGGAAATAACTCTATAGTTTACGTTGATGGATTGTGACCCGTTAAAATTCCCTGCTCTTTTTGTTTCTACTATCATGAAAGTTTTAATTAATTTTTGTTATTATTATTTGTTTTAATAAATATCTATTTCTTAAATTAGAATATTCCTTTTTTTATTATGAACGAGGATTGGCTGGCAGGCCAAAATATCCTCCTATTTTATACCTCACATTGGCCCCCCATAGTTCTGTTTTATGAGCATATGACATGGAATATTACCTCATTGGTTAACTTCTGTTACCTATAGCTATGGGTTACCCTCTACTATAAGGTTCAATTTAAACCGTGGCTATAGTTTACAATGTTTTACTTTGACCATGACTATATATGATTCCTTTATATGGTTGTGTACATTAAACATGTCTATCTGGTTATGTACATTATTAAAATAAGTTTTAGTCGAGTTATAAGCAAAATAAGTTAGAAAGAAAATCTTTAATTTTCTCATTTTGAAACACATGAATCAATAGGAGTTCTTAGAATGATAAGGAGGACACGATCAAAATGTCAAGATTCGATTGACTAATGTCATAAACGCAATATTAGAAATTTCTTATGAATAGGTAGCTCGACATTTTTCTTCAATAATAACCAAAAATAAGATGTCTTACATTCGCCTTATCAAAATTATTTAACTTTGAAGTTTTATGTTTCAAGTGTGTAACTTCATTCACATTTATTTTAGTTTAATTTATACATTTTTCTTACGATTAGATTTTATTCATATATAAATCTATTGTCTCAGTTAGGAGAGATAAAAATGCAAGACATGGATAGAAAGTTAAGGAGGATAAATAAATGTTTAGCCGAGTAATACCCTGACTTAAGATCATCATGCCTAAGTCGGGTTGTATAGTCTGAGACATATGTGGTCGGCCATCGAGAAAGATGAAGAGGCGTCAATCGGGTTTATCTCTGGATCCAGAGGTTACATAGAGCCCAATCCTGATGAGACCGTTATAGAGTGATCGGCCCATTAAGAGTGTAACGACTCATCAATACATGTCAGCGCACGTTTTGATATATAACGGCCATCATTGGCAACGACGGACGTTTCTTGTCTTAATGGCAACTCAGTCACGTATGATAGAGAGTTACAACAGTTACATGCAGTGATCAGTGACGTCCAGATACCTCTCTATATAGGGCTCCCAACTAAGGAGTAAGCAAAACACATCGCTTGGAGCTCACGCATACTTGTGTGACCCTCTGAATCCCTTAATATCATTAACAATTCATCCCACTTGCTTGAGGCTCTCCCCGATAGCCTTCAACTAGCGGGCAAGTCACCTATTTAATGTTTAGTAAGAACATTTGGCGTCCACCGTGGAGCCTGGTAAAACTTTCCCAGGTCGTATTATCCAAACACCTTTGAGCAATATCTTCTGATGAGGATCCCCCCTCCAGGCATGGTGCAGTTATTGGACATGATCGAGGATCTTCGCCAGTAGAACGATACGCTGTATGACAGCGTCCAGGTCTTGCAGATGAAGAGTCAGGACGATGGCGACTAGGGGTTTGAGCTTTTGAAACCTCAGCCATTATCCCAGTCTATTTGGGACGATCAGGATCTAAAGAATTTCAAACCTCCGACACTTATAAAATACGATGACAAATCTGATCTCCATGAGCACATCATTGCTGTTAATAATATGATGGCAATAATCGGGACTAACGATTCACTGAAGTGCAAGCTATAGCCGGAACCTTCAAGGAATCGGCTCTGAGGTGGTACATAAGCCTTCCCAGGCACTCTGTTATCAGTTATCAGAACTTCATCAAGAAGATGGTTCAACAGTTCTGGACAAGCCGACACCGAAAGGTGTTGACAACAACGTTGTTTAATGTTTGTCAGCTTCAGTCAGAATCTCTAAGGGATTACATGGCTCGGTTCAACGAGGAAACCATAAAGGTCTCTCATCCTAATCAAGAGATACTTGTGGTAGCTTTCTAGCACGGTCTCTGGTCTTCCCAATTCAATGAATCGCTGGCCCAGAAACTGGTTGCCAGTATGAACGAGATAATCACTCGGGTCGAGTTCTATGTAAAAGGAGAAGAGAGTAACATGGAAAAGAGAACTAGAGACGCTAGAGAAAAAGGAAGGACCCGTGAAGAAGCTTTCGGACAGAAGAAGGAGTAGACCAGGTCCCGTGATCGACTACCACCTAGGGAGCAGCCTCCTCACCGGCTATCCCGATGACCTTTGGTTTCGGACGAAGACCTCACTCCTCTAAATTCCAGAAGATAGGACATCTGGAGAGATGTAAATCACCTTAACTTGTTGCCTTGAACTTGGCGTCCTCGTGAAGTAAACCAATCTTGGGGGATGACGCCTGTAGCGGTAGAAATGTTTAAGACTAAGCCATTGGATTGACTAGACTTTATACAAATCAAAATAAAAATCACAACCGCGCTTTATTGTTTCTAAAGGAATGGGAAAAGAGCGAATAATCCAAAAAGAGGGGTAAAGATTCAAGGTAAGGGGGTTGGTTATTCAAAGGGAAGGTATTAGCACCCTAAACATCTACGGTACTCCGCAGGAGCCTCTTTGTAAAATCTGTATATTTTGGCTATAAAAATTGTTGTATATAAAAAGTGGATGGTGGAGGTGAGGAAATAAGTGTATTTATTTTATAATTTTTGCATCCTCTGCGGTTGTGAACCTTTAGTGCCTACGTACCACCTTTTGTGCAATAGGGGAACAGGGTACACGTAGTTCCTCTTTTAAAAATTTGAAACACAAATGCGTTGATTAATTTTATGAGATAAAACATCATCATCATTGTCCGTGTGGAAAACATACCTACTACCCACAACCATGAGAAAGGAGAATTTGCATCATCTCAAAGTGAATGATATGGCTTGGATTTTAAAATAAACAATGCCCCACTCAACATTCAAGTGGAAAATATCTCTCTTCACTACATATTGTAGAAGTATAGTTGTTTGCATCACTACAAAGATTGACAAGAGTCTAATCTTTTGAGAAAATTTTAAAGATAAAAAGCCAAAATGGCAAGATGGTTTGAAACGAGATTGATTGACTTTTAGTCTTCTCACAAAAAATGTCAAGGTATCATTAAGTTGATTGGGAGTTTATTTATGAAAATGTTTTGAAAATACATGGACATAAGTCCAAGTTTATTATAAAAGTGGTTCAAGTTCAAAAACAAGAAGAGTTTTTTTTTTCAAAAAAAAAGGAAGAAGAAGATTTTTGAAATTGAAGAAGATGGGAGGAGAAGAAGGGACTATCCTAAAGCATAAAATAAAAGCTAGGGATAAGAACCATCTAACCAACAAGAAGCCAATACTTGACATTATGAGCCAAGATGGAATTCCCATTCCTTGGATTGAAACCAAGCAAGCAAAAATACTAGACCTCTTGAGAGAACCAAACTTTAAGTGTATTAAGTCTTCACAAAAATTGGGCAGAGTAACGGCTGTATACGGGTGAATTCCAGATTACAAACAGAGGGTGTAATCACAAAAACCTGCACACAAAAACAAACAAGCAACTCAATGTCTTGAGGTGAACCTCAAGAACTCCAGACAAAATAATCAGATAAGGTCACAAAGTCTCCAAGATAGGCCAAGGTTTCTAATTCCAAGTCCAAGAAAAGTCACATGCTCCATAATGCCAAGGATAATAACCAAATAGTACAAGTACCATTAAAGATTTTTTAGGGTTTATGTTGATTATTAAGTATCTTAAGAAAGGAAAAGAAAATCTCAAGTGAGAAAAGTAAAAATGGCAAGAAAGTAAATGCTCAAATGAGCAAAGATGAAAATGGCATGAAATGTAAATGCTAAAAGTAAATGGTACATAAAGCATAAAAAAGAATGAAAGCATAAGGTAAAATAAGTCAATAATTAGTGGTTAGTTGGATGACCATCTTGAAGCTTGCATTTGGAACTCATTAGAGGATTGGTAGAACCAAAGCCTCCACACATCAAGTTGCATTTGCTTTTTGTCAAGTATATCATTCATTTGGAATTC